ATTTTTTTTTTTTTTTAATAATAGTAAGAGGCTGTATTGGTAGCGTACATAGATTTTAAATAATTTAACAAAGGGCAGATTATTGTTGCACAAAGCTCTGTTTGATTTGAGAATACGGCTCAATAAGGCTAGGTTCTTGTACTCCTAGATTTCAGAGAAGTTCTCTAGAGCGTTGGAAACTTGCTGAGCTCAGCGATAACAATATAAATATCTTAAAATGATTGACTAGCAGATTATGAAAGATTGCATAATTTTGCCATTCTTATGACATTAACAAACAAAAACATTTGAAAGCCTATGAAATGAGCATAGCTTTCCATTCCCCTTTACACAGTCAATAATAGATTGCTTTAGTGAAAGTGCAAACAACACTTTGTTTATAGTCGGAATGTCAGTCTAAAAACTTCTAGGTAGGTATGTAAAGACCAAGATCTTTAACATACAAACTATTTCTGATTTGTTATTTCAAAACCTAAAAAGTAACAGCAATAGTAAACATAACAACAAATTTTACACTGTTGTGCGCCTTTATCCTTCTTAAAATATCCTACAAACATCACAACCAATTAATGGGGTTGAATTATTTCTTTAAATATATTACATATTCACAAAATTATTATTGGCTTTCTTGAATCAATTTGGAAGAAGCACAACTTATAAAGAGACAAAGGTGAAAACCTTGGCAAGCACACTATGCACATGCTTTGGCACATGAATTTGATGAATATTACGATTTGGTCAAAATAAGTTTTCCAGTTAAAACTTTACAAAACTTTGTAAAAAATTCTTTTTATAAAATCAGAAACTATTTTGGTCTGGCCAGGGCAAAACAGCTGTCAAGCACCGTTTTTTTTTGTCGTGTAGGAGGAAAACGAGGAATGAGTTTTTTCATACACAACTGTTGTGCAGTCGGCACTTCTTCGGAGAATCTTGTACCTCCTCCGGTCCTACAAGTGGACTTCCACTAGGTCGCCGGGGTCCAGCAGGCAGTGGCTGGGTAACCCTGGAGCGGGCGTGCCGAGCAGGGGCGTGCCTGGCCCGGGCTCGAGGCCCTGGCCGAGGCTTTGGTTGCCTTGGCCAGGGCCCTGCCCCTGGCCGAGGCCATGCCCCTGGCCCGCCCCGGGGTCGTGGTGCTACAAGTGGTTGCCGTCGGGGCCAGGCATCCTCACTCGAGTGCCCACCGTGTTGCCAACCAAACTGGATCCAAGCCCTAGGCCACCCAGGCCAAGCCCCAGGTCTCCAGACATGTGCAAGCGCTCCACCTGCAACATAATACAAGAGCAGTGAATAATAGTCTTGAATTCTTCATCAGTGTGTGGCTGTGTGAGAGGTGTGTAGCTGTGGCATCCTCCGTATAATATAAATTTGTCTTGAGCACTACAAATTCCCATCACAGCAGAAGGGCACATACAGTAAGTATGTCAAAGATTGTTCAAGCACCAGTCAAATACTGTGAAGTTAATAAAAATAAAACCCAACTATAGTATGGTTCTTTTAATTGTGCCCAAATACCAAAATATACTTTAAAAAATCATTAACAAATACTAAGTGAAAGGCAATTGTAGATAAATGTGGTTTATTTCCACAAACCATCAAACAATGATTGTACAATCTATTTGTTAGATCATATTTTCATAGAACTCTTTGAAGGGATTCAGAGTCCACACAACGCAAGCACAATCATCAAACCAGATATGATAAAAGTAACTCCTTCATTGGCTGTGTTAAGCATACGGAGAGTAAAAAATCGTGAATGGCATGAAAATCGCACGGGCGTTTTGTGAACTCTGATTCCACACTTTTACCTTATGGGATTGTTGATATGATGTTAAGGTTTTTGATTCAGACTCAAACAAAACAGAGATGATTAAGGTGGGCAGATATCACACAACAAATATCATAGTTCTTTACTCACTCAATATGTTTGCATAAACTGATTTCTTCAGTCAATATGTTGAGAAGTTTTCATGGAAAAGTCCATTTTGTGGGAGTTAAGTGGACAACTATCCCACTGAGATATAAACTAGTTACACAACTAGTGACATCAGAAATACCAACTATCACAGCAACTAATAATGGATACAGCAATACATAACATTCATCTAAAAATCATGCATTATAAGAACATAAATACAGGCTGTATCCAAGTAAACAGAAAAATAAAAGACCTCTATTATATCATATCTAATAACTCACAAATTTAAATTTTCAATATGCTTCCTCAGCCCTCTGGACATAAATGTGCTTAGCCCATAAGTGTTCAGACAATGAAGAAAAAAAAAAAAAAAGCAAAAACAATACATCACGTCAGTGGGGGAAACTTAAGACACTCCAGAGCAAGTGTTGTGTATGTCATGACCTGCATCCTATATTGCACTGCCTATTCTGCTACCTGTCCTCTGATTGTCAGCATGCTGTCATCTTAGTTACTAGTCAATAGTGAATCTGTTGAAATCTGTGTCTTTGTCGTGGGTAGCTGTCTAGTACTCAAACAAAAATGTCCGTTCCAATGACTGCCAATTTGTACCATCTATCATTAACACTACTGTATGCAAGTCACAACATACACAAACTAGATAGATAATAAATACTACATATATGTTTGCATATAAGAATAAATAAAAAAACAGAATTTTCGGATATGCCATGTTTAGCATGGTAACTACACGTTTCTTGATTGAACATGGTCACAACTGAGATCCTAATACAATGCTCTAGAACCGTCAGACGTTAAGTTCATTCATTAATTTCTAGCACAACCTCATAGATACAGAACTTGATCCACAATCCTCATTCATTACCAAAGAAGACATGTGAAGGTGCAAACAACAAGCAGAGGGAAAGGAAAACATGGGGAACAACTGCCAAACTGCAAGTCATATAAGAGAATTCAGATTAGATTAAACACCATCCTTTGAGCCTTTCCAAACATTCAACCTCTCAAATAGAAAAAAATATCAAACGTCTCTGAATATGTTTTAACTACCATACCATTGTAGAAAATACATAATTGGATGTACAATTACATAATATTTATAAAAATGACTACATGTTCACAAGAATCATATTAATGAAAATCAATGCAGACGTAAAAAGTGGTATTCCTAGCTAATTGAATGCATCAAGTGATCATTAAGAATACAACTTGAATTACAAGGTACAAGCTGTAAGAAATAAAATTTCTTACATATTCTCTATGTATGAAGCATACTGCTGGTCCCTTTCAATGGCACTAGGAAAAGTTACAAAGCGATACTATTAAAGGAGAAATTGTAACAATCTCAAAACAAAAAAAAACAACCATACATTTTAATAACAGCCAAAAGCATATGCAAGTTGTTCGAATTCTAATAGCCACTACATTTATCATTTAGACAGCTTGAGTTGTGGCATTTTTTTGGAATTTTGGGAAACGTAACTTTTGATGAAGGATGCTCCACTTAAATGAATAATTCCACAAAGAGAAATACTAAGTACTGGACGTCATCACATTAAAATAATCACAAATTACTGAAATGGTACAAAACAATAAAAGGGCTGCACCAGGCAACTTGGCAATGAGAAAAAAAGAACAAAAACTTTTCAAAAAAATTAAATTGTAGTTAACTTGTTAATCAAAAGTCAAATATCTTTGGTCTGAAAAGTATCATTCATTAGTGAATTAAAACTTTGAGGTTTTAGTTTAACACGTTGAGTCCCAGGGGGGGTCAGCATCACGTGTTACTGTGACCATACATGTGGTCACAATGGACTCAACGTGTTAATGGACCTTATGAAATTTTTGAAGAAAACAAATGTTGGATTTACCGGTTTACACACGCACACTGCTTATCTTGCTACATGCAGTAACAGGAGAAAATTATTGCACTAAATTACCAAGAGGTAGATGGAAAATAAAATACAATAAAGCGCAATACTGTACAATAAGGCTCAAAAGGTACTCAAGGAAGAAGAAAAAGAGAGAAGGGAAAGGAGGGAGCTAAATCTAGGTCTGGAATATCTCGCTCTTGGGCTGAGTTGTGATTGACACCACAGTCTGGAAACAAGAAATGCAGCACCATAGAAAAAGTACAACTCTAGACAACAGCATGCCTCTAACAGTACTCATGCAACAAAATGCCTTGACTTTAGAGTAGCAGTTTAAAAACTGACTAAAAAAGAATTTAAAAATCTGAGCAATATCAAATTTTACGAATTCTCTTCAACATTAAATAAAACTGAAGGTGCCAAAAGTTTCGGCTGTATTTACCCTTTGACCACTACTACTTCGGCGATGATCAGAGAATGACATTTCATTTTCTTCTAAACATAACTCTGAATCAGAATCTAGCCGCGAGCGGCCACACTCCTATAGAAAAATAATAGCTCATGATAGAATAGAAAACAAAGAGATTATGAAGCCCCTGAGTGCAAGTACATGCATTGATTAATAGATTTTAAAGAAATATACCAACCTGGGTTAGTTGTTCAGTTGTTGTAAGAAGTCTAGCTAGAGGGTTACAACAAACAGGTAAGGTTTCTAGCAGAGTTGGTCTTGCATGAGTCAAGAATGGTTTCATGTATTTAGTATCTAGACCAGCCCACCAACGAGCCAAGAAAGCTTTCCCATTTTCTTTATTATTGCCTGTTAATGAGGCAGAATTACTTCCTGTTATAGAACCAGACTCATTGCTCATGTCCTAAATTTGTTTAAAAAAAAAGTTAACAAAAGAAAGTTTTATTGATTCAAGTGATAATTTTAGGACAGTAGTTCTACATACCCCTCTAGCACTGGAATAAGGTAACAATTCAACTTCATCATCCACACCAACACTGGGAAGAAAACAAATCAATAGACTGTGGAAAAAATTCAAAATAAAATTCCACATTGCTTGTAGCAGTTCTTACGGGATATTAAGCCAAGTGAGGAGTTGCATTGTTGACCCTCCTTGAACAATCACAGTGAAAATAACAATTAAAGATGTTGTGGTCAGCATAGCCTGACGAGCCTCTGACGCAGTGTTTCGCATGGCGAGAGCAAAGGACATGGCTCCACGCACACCTAGACAACAGATGTTTAAGATTGACTTATTTCAAAAAGTTACAAGCAAGATCTACCTTGTCTTTAAATTTCTCCTCTCACCAGCAAAGAACAACATATGTTGAAAATTGTAGGGAATCTTAGGTTTGCGGCCCAAGTTCAATATGAATGACAATGGATAGATATTTGCTGCTCTTCCAACAGCAGCACATATCTGGATACAAAGTTAAGAAATTTTTTTACAAGAAAACAAGGAAAAACCAACACACAAATATTGACTGTACAAAAAATACATATGTGAGGCCATTAATAAAAAGGATACAAATCCAGCAATAATAAAACCTGGATCAAATTGATGCTTTGGGAAAGTGAACATAGAAACTCCTATGTAGGAAAAAATGAAATTTTCGGCTAGAAAATTCATCAATTCAAACAACTGTTTGGTTCTTGTTCTTGAATCTTGAGATAGATTATTATATGTGTAATGTGCCTGACAAATTCCACAAAAAAGTACAGCAACAACACCTGCAAATCACATAACACTGTTAAAGAAATTATCATTGAAAATCAAGGAGACCACAAAGAGGATGACTTGTTCCACTTGCCAGTTAGATCAGCAACCTCCGCAATGAGAAACGTACTATACGACATAAGCACAAATAGTGCTGCCTCCAACAGAGGAAAATCTCTGACTCTTGTGAACTTTGTCAAGTGCAAAAGAATTAAGGATCAACACAAGAAAGAACAACAATAGATTATAATGCAGACCACACTCAAATATATAGAGATTTATAATAAGGGTAAGGAAAAGAGTGTAAATTACAACAGCATAAAAGGATATGATAGCTGTGAGACAACCCATGATAGCACCAATTAGAAGAGATAATGTAAAAATAAAAATAAAGTCGCCGAGAGCTCTGAAGAAAGCATCTGTCTCAAAGCTTCCAGAACCAGACTGGTATCTTTCGGCATAATTTCGAATGGCCCTAGAAATTGAAACAGAAAATTCACAATATGGCTTTATCATAACTGCATTCATAAAATAAATATTCAAAAGTTCTCAACAACACAAAAGTTTGAAATCACACAAGGAACTCTTACCCGCTGAGCACAATCGCAACTGCATCATTGAGAACACTCTCTCCAAATACAAGGGCATATAGGTTGACATCTACGTGAAGGTCATTAAATATTGCAAGAATGGTGAGTGGATCAGTGGGAGAAATTAAAGCACCAAAATACAATGAATCAAGAAAAAGAAATGATGTCTTTAGGTTGGGAATAATCTGTACCATTCCATACATCAGAGCTCTGCAACAGATCAGTTATTAGTATTGTGACGGAACAAATAAACCAAAATGGACTTCTGCACAATCTAACAAAATATTGCTCAGAACTTACCCAACAGTGAATGATGAAATTGTTGTGCCAATGAGTGCATACATCAAAATAGCACCCAAATTTCTGAAGAAGTATTTCTGAAATAAATTCCTGTTACTGGATCTGGATCAATGTTATGAAAAAATATTTTGAATGCCTTAGACACATACCTTTTTCAGAGAATATCCTGCATGAAATATGATAGGTGGTAATATTATATTAAAGAATATTTCTGGATCAAAAGTTGCCTAAAATGAGGGGAACAGGAGGAAATGCAAAGCAATTAGACGCAATTTCAAGATTAAGAATCACTTTAACACTTGAGCACTTCGTAATACCTTTAAATCTATATCATTGTTTTCCACATCTTTTATTTCTCCCTTGAACGTATAGGAGTATGTCTTATTTGCTTGTTGTCCCCCTATGCTTGTTGGTGTCTTGTAAGGATATCGTAGCCAAACAGTATCTGGTGGAAGTGAATCATTGTATCTTGTTCCCTTGTCAGGAATGACACTCAAATGAGTCAACGTAGTTGTGGAACCAGCATAACGGATCAAGGCACCTACAATTAGTCCTGGTAGAAATAGAGTACTGAGGTCAGAACCAGGTAATTATTATACAAGAAGCATTCCACAGTATGAAAGAGACAGTGGCGCTTGCTTCACATCATAATGGAGCTAAAATGGGAAAACTTCACATAGACAAGAAGAAAAATGGATTGAGGTTAGAGGCAAGTATGTGAACCTTGACTAAAATATACTAGAGACAAAGACATTCATGTTGACATCCATGACACTAAGAAATGCTGCTGAACCTTACCATAGATCACAGCCAAACCGGTTTCGTGTAAAAATCTCAGTCGTCTGTGTTTGAACATCCATATCGTAAGGACAGTTGATATCAGCAAAAAAGTGTATAGAAGGAGATTTAAACTATCTATTCGATGTGTATACTGAGCCTTAGCGTCTCGCTCAATATCGGAGTCAGTCGCGTCGCCATTCCTTAAATATTCAGAAAACAATATCAAATAAAGGACGACAGCAGTCCCTCTCACAACGGCCATGTTTTCGTTTTCACTTGAACACCGCCGCCTATCACAATCACATGACACATGACTTGTCAAGCACTTGTCATTATTCATAAAAGGCAGTGGGTTATAAAAAACCTTAAAACCTTCGAAATCCCCGATTCGAACCTTCTGTCCTCGTATTTTCTTTGTCCTTTGGAAAACAGCTCTTCTGAGCTAAGTCAAAAACTGTGGTCTGATTGTATGTGTCCTCTTAATCTTTCAACACGTATCGAATTCATGGAAACGTGTAAGAAAGGACCGCCATAGACCGCGAATGGGCCCATGATTCTTTGTGGTCGTTCAGAAACAGTTCAGATCGCAGACGAGGAGGAGGCTCGGCTCTGAGGCAAGGGCCTTGAAGGGTGTTGTCTGATTTATGCAGCTGTGCAGGCCATTAAAGTGCAACATTTTGAGGATCAAGTCTTAATAACAAGTTAAAAAATGAGTGAGGAACGGGATAGGGAAGAAGATCCCTTGGTGGATTTGTGGCTCGCCAACTGGGAGCAGCAGTGCGTGGAACACCTGGAGTCGGAGCCTGATTGTGAGGGTCAGCTGCAGGCCGAAAGAGACAGGTCGATTCACAACAATTGGTTATTGTTCCAAAACACGGCCGCGGCCATTGCACAATTGTATAAAGGTAATTTTCTAATTTAAGAGTTTTTGAGAAATTCTGCGGCTATTCCAGTGCGTTTTGTCGTTATGTGCGTCATCACATACTCTATTGATTTGTTGCTGGTTTGTTTATTATTTCAGATCGCCAGCAGGGGGTTTCGTTATGGATCCCCTTTCAAACGGCTGCCGGTACCGTCACGTCTCTGTATAAAGGTATATTAATTTCTAAAGCATGATCTACTTTCATCTTCCTTTGTGGTGTGTCAAGCCTTAAAATTTTCAAGTTCTTGTTAGGTTAAGATGTATGCTACAATTTTCACATGACAATCAACCGTTAGAGTATTAATGGCTCCGCTATCAATTGTCATTCTCAAATAATGTCTGAGTTTATGTAGATTTTAAGTTGTTGACATTTACCAACTTTTCTTACCTTCTGAATGTTTTTGTTTACATTTTCAAAGTAATTATTAATTTGCCTGTCTATTTCTATTTTAGATTCCACTGATGCCATTCGAAGGGTTGGTGAACTAGGTGTTCAGTGCGGATATCAGAGACGCAATAAAGAGCTCATGAACTGGGCAAGGAAAAAGAGACGCAATATTCGCCGTGAAGATTTGATGGCGTATCTTGCAGGAAAACCACCCCCTTTGCGCCCACACCACCACAGGTATGATCCTTTCATGTGAATACTGGGAACAGACCAGTTATTTTAGAATGTCACAAGAGGTTTGATATCTTTTTTATTTGTGAGGGGAAACTAGTCAGACCTATTAATAAATTAACTTTCTCTTGTTGTGGTTTACCTAGTCTCCAAAATTGTATTTCATGTGATTAGGGTTTCAAGCCTGGTCTGGATATGAGGTAATTGTCAAAGTAATTGTTTGAGGCCACTTAAATCTAAATTTTAAGTTTTTTTGTTGTTTTTTTTCTCTTTTGTTTTTTCTTTGTAAACTCTCTCTGCTCTTTATCTTAAAGTGGTTTAATAGTCCTCACAATTTAACTCAGGATTTTGTATGATTAAAGACCACTTGGTAAAAAAAATGGGACCCCTAACAACTTAAATATTATGACATCCATCTGGGTTTCAGGTTTAATTAACAGCTAGGGAATGTAAGCATGTGCTTAGTTTTTAATGTAACTTTTCCATCTACAGCAGAGTTTCCCCAAGACCGCGGGTAATGTTATCTGAACGCCAATCACCCAATAGCCAGCAGATGGATATACACCATTTTCATTCTAATCCAGCAACTATTAGTACCGAAGACAACTTGCACACATTCAGGGAAGCACTGTCTATTGCCAGTGAGTATTAGTTGAATAGAAGTTTTATTAATGGCTGAATTTCTCCATCACATCATCTCTTATTTGGAATGTTTTAGGTTCAAATGTGAATTTTGGGAGGAAACCGAGGTCTGCAGATCTAAGCAATTTCATTGCAAATGAATTTGTGCGCAATGGCACGAAAAGACCTGCTTCCTCTAGCCCTCCACATGACGTGACTATGGACTCACCTACCCACAAGCGTTCTCGCTTCATGTAGTGGCAGTAAGTGCAGCCATCTCATCTCAATTTTACATTTAGCCAACTTATCCTGTCAATCAAGTTGAAATACTTTGCGTGCCATGTATGCACATTGTTTGACCCAGCAAAGTTTAGTATGGCAGTCTGTGCTAAGCAAAGTGGAGTGAGAAACTTCTTTGGGTGATATGCACTTGTTAATCAGGTGAGCAGTAAGCTATATAATGGGTTTGTTTTCTTACTTTTATTTTTTCCAGATCAGTCAGTGGAGTTGTATGGGCAGTGCCAGGGAACAACTAAGTTGTCATTTTTCATTAACTTACATGAAGGTATTTTTATACAGTCATAGCTTTAATGGTCAAGTTTGAGAAGTGGCATCTGTTTTATAAGTGACATGCAAGAGTGATTTGTGGATGGGAGTATGTCTGTGAGAATATGTTATAGTTGATTTGTCACATTTTATCTGTAAAGATGATGTAAAGTGTTTCTGTGATCTCTCAAATTTAGATCCTGTAGAGAGGTTACTGGTTATTCTACTTTACATCCTTTGCGGTGTTTCACTCAATTTAAAATTTATAGTTGGCTTGTTTTCCTTTTCTCATGTTTTTTTTTTTAGTCTTGTTGATTTTGTTTAAATATTGAAAAACACAAAAAACAAACATAAATTGTATATATTGATACATATATGTTCTGTATGTAATGTGCGCAACCAATGAACGTAGGCCACCCTGTGAAGTTTTATTTTCCTGTAGACTTTTCCAGTTTTGTTAATGATGGGATGGAACATCAGCGTGCTTGGAGGTTTTGAATATTCTTCTGTTAATTATAAAATTGTAAATATAATTTAAACTCACTGTGAAATATAAACTATGTATATAAGAAAAAGTTGTATAGGGGATTGTTTGTGACCCTAAGCACCAAACCCACAATAAACGTCACAGTAAATATTTTATTTGGAGCCTTACCTTTAACAATTTGTTTAATATTAGTTGATAAAGTAAAAAGAAGACTAATCCACATCATCTCTGCTACCATGAAGTCCAGGAGAGAAATATAACTTTTTAGATACCCCATACTCATAGTATGATAGAGTTTGCTGGAGTTCATCAGATGATTTGCGAGCATACTCATCAAAACATTTATTCATCTGCAAAGATAAATTTTCAAATTAGCATTAAGGCATCTTTCACCTGGAGCATGAGTTGCTTATCGCCTCACCAGATTCTTCATTGTTTCTAGATCTTTGTTGTAAGCATGTTCTGGGAAAACTTCTTTGAGAGCCATAAACAGCCAAGAACCACGCTCTGGGTCCCTATTGGCCTTAAATCCTGGAATAGAATCATTTTCTGAATTTCAATTCATTGATAATCAATAAAGTAGTGCCATGTCTTACCCTCCATGCTTGGGGCTAGAAGGAAAGTATCTCTCCAATTAGGGTGTGTTTGTTTCAAATGCTTAGAGATTGGCCCATCTGCTTTACCACGATGAACACTTCTTGGACCTCTGTGATTAGGAAATTGTCCGTGAGGAAGAATGAGGATAGAATAATATACCAAAAAGCATAAAAAAAAAGTAATTCTCTCACCTGCAAGCTTGTAAGATAAATATCTTGGGACAGCCCTTTCGAAGCTTGCACTGATCAGAGTTGAACAGGGCAATTATATCTTTACACAGCAAGTGGTTTCCTGCATTTTGAGAAGTGATATCATCCACTCCATCTATGTATAATTCACGCTCAGTTATGTTTCTGTCTCTTGACCGTGTCTCAAGGATATCCCCATGACTTGATATGAGTACTATACAAGAATCAACTTTGGCAAGAGTTTCTTGACTACTAAATCTTAAAAGCAAATCCCACATTTCCTGAAAGATAAAGATTTTTAGAATGTGTGCAGTAACTAGCAAAAAAAATTTAGGAAACAAAGATTACCTGTACAGTTTTGTTGTTATGTGCGTTATCACCAGAAAAGCCCATTTCTCTAAGGATGTCAATAAACTCCTCATCCTTCTCGGCACCATCTCTTTCTACAGCTCTTTCAAACTTTATATTATTTATAAAAATAAAAAGGCCTTTTGGATATGACTTCATTTTATATACCTAAAAATGAAAGAAGTCAAGATTTATAAGACCCTAAGCAGAGAGAAAGATTGAAGATTTAACTTGATGTACTTGCGTCTTGATTTCGAGGAAAAGATTTTGACTTTTTAATAGCTATTGAATCATTTTGGGGAAGAACTGCGACTCTGCCCGGTTTCAGTAATAAGTGCTGTTTGGCATGGCCTGTAGCTTGAAGGCACTCGAGAAGAACTTTAAATGCAGTGGGGCCTCGAGTCTGGATATCAGTGAATATTTGTCGACATCTTTCTTCTTCAGGTTTTTGTTGAAAATTTGGGCTCTAAAGGATTTAATTTGTCAGATATTAAAAAGGATCTGACATTGAAGTAAATATTGCATATTAAGACGACAAACTGTACTGACCGCATAGTTCAGTAGTTCTCTCTTAGTAAATATGTTACGGTATTTCAGAAACTCTAGTATGTTGGAAAAATTGCATTCCTCACTCAGTTTATCTATATTGTCTTTTATCATCTGCCTATGATTTTCGTCCATGGTTTCAATCAACTTTCTTAGTTGTCGCGGAGGTGTTGTGGCAGGAGGTAATTTCAGTGTGTGCGGGGATGGTACAAGCTTTGTACCTTTGCTTGTACTGTCTCTACTTCTGGCTTATCAACCTCATCCGAGACTGTCGCCTTCGATGGAAATGAAAGAATGAAAGTCAGTTTTAAACTACTACGACGACGACCGACGACAAAGACATACCTCCATGATAGTACGTATAGCAAGAGTGAGTATGTACCGTATGTTTATTTCTTTGTACGCGCCAATGCATGCTGTTTGCCTACTTGATCTGCCCGTAAGGCGCCATGGCCCCTAATAGTAGGCAAACCCGCTCGCTCGATCGCGTGCAATGAAACACCCGGTACTGTGACCCGACTCTAGCGCGCTCAGGCGGCTGTCTATGCAAACACGACGAAAGCGGCGAAGGAGGAGAGGAGAGGGAAGGTCCTTTGTTCGCAAGGGAGGCAGTAGATGAAGACGAAGAAGGGGAAGGGAAGAAAAGGAAGAGAAGAGGAAAAGAAGGGAAGGGAGGAATTGTTTTGTTTGGGCGAGAGTGGAGGGGGAGAAGACGTGGAATGCCCGATGGAAGCTGAAGTTGCTTGACCGGTGACCGCGTAGAGCTGCAACGGCCCGGCAGGTGGCTGGAGGATTTGAATACTTGACCATGAATAATCATCAAATAAGCATAGTATCTTTGATAATTTGTGCAACTATTGCATTTGAACCAACTGCTTCATCACCTTCCATCCAAGAAAATGGACAGAGAAAGAATGTTCTATTTCTTGTTGGTAAGTTATTGAATGCAACGGTCAACAAAAATTAAACGATAATTGAAAAAGAATTGTTTTATTTCTTACAACAAAGTTCTACTATCTATTTTTCTGAAATCCAGCCGACGATGCTGGATTTGAAATGGGTACCTACAGGAAGAAAGTGGTGCAAACACCAAATCTTGATGCACTGGCAAAGAAGAGCCTAATATTTAATAATCTTTTTGCATCAGTCAGCAGCTGCTCTCCCAGGTTTGTTTTCATATCAACTCATTACGAATCACAGTTATACTTTAGTAACTATTATTTACAATTATAGCCGAGCTTCAATATTGACTGGTCTCCCAACGCATCAGAATGGAATGTATGGACTTCACCATGGTATTCACCATTTTAATTCATTTGATGGGGTGAGAAGTCTACCAAATATACTTCAACAGCATGGAGTATATACTGGTAACATAAGTGTTTAGTAACATTCAATTTTAAGGATTCAGATTATTTCAAAATGTTTTATGCTATTGCTTCACCTTTGATTTAGGAATAATTGGGAAGAAACATGTGGGCCCAAAAGAAACGTTTAAATTTGATTATGAGGCAACAGAAGAAAAGCATTCAATACTGCAAGTAGGCCGTAACATCACTCATATAAAACTACTAGTGAGAGATTTTCTGGAAAAGAAATCCTTAGAGTACGTCCCAAGAACTTTAATAAGCATGGACTTTACTTAATCCTTTCCTTTCCTAAATTTGTCCAATGTTGCCATAACATTGCATGGAGAAGAATTTTACACTAAAATCTTTGATTTATTCAGGCCATTCTTTTTGTACGTTGGTTTTCATGATCCACATCGCTGTGATCACACACATCCGGAGTATGGTGCATTCTGCCAGTTTTTCGGAAATAGGGAGGCAGGAATGGGAAATATTCCTGACTGGCATCCAATTACATATGATCCAACACAGGTTGAAGTGCCCCATTTTGTGCAGGACTCTCTTCCTGCAAGAAAAGATATTGCAGCTCAATACACAACCATTTCTCGTCTTGATCAAGGTAATAACAAGTTTCATTAAACTTTTCATTATTAATATAAAGGAGTAAAATTAATAGTCTGGGTAATATAACATTAAAAACAATATTTGAATAAAAACTATCTCCACTTTCAGGAGTTGGGCTAGTGCTGAAAGAATTGGAAAAAGCAGGAGTGCTGAACAATACCTTGGTTATTTACACTTCAGACAATGGGATACCGTTTGCGGGAGGAAGAACAAATCTCTATGACTCTGGTGCGACAAGAAAAAAGGATGAAAATTATACAATTTGGAATTTCTATCTATCTGTTCTAAAAAGAGGAAACTTAATGTATTTCAGGTATTAGATTGCCCATGTTAATGTCATCTCCACAGCACCAAGAACGCCACTATCAAGTCACCTATGCAATGTCTAGCCACTTAGACCTGGTACCTACTGTATTAGACTGGTTCTCAGTGCCTTATCCTGCCATAGACTTTGCTGAAAACCATTATGTACAACCTCTGACAGGAAAAAGTCTCCTGCCATTGCTCATTGCAGGTAAGAATCTGATGTGCTCACTATAAAGACGGTATCAATCATTTCTTGCATCCTTAACTATTTCCTGTAGAGCCCACATACAATGGAGAGGCTATATATGCCAGCCATAATCATCATGAAGTCACTATGTACTATCCTATGAGAGCCATAAGGACCAAACACTTCAAGCTCATTCACAATATTAATTACCGAATGCCATTCCCTATTGATCAAGATCTGTATATATCTAAATCTTTCCAGGTCAGTCAAAATTCTTTCTATATTCTTTATTCTTGTGAAGGAAGTTTGCCTTTATAATTGTAATATCTAATTCCAGGATATTCTAAACCATACTCGTGAGAAACAACCAACTCACTGGTCAAAGACTCTTCGACAGTACTATTATCGGCCTGAATGGGAACTGTATGATCTAAGAAAAGATGCAGAAGAAATGAGAAATGTAGAAGGAAAACCTGCTTACAAGGTAAGTAAAACTTTTCCTATCTCAAGGTAACCAAACAGTTTACGATACACCTTCCTTCTATCTCTTCTACCCTATAGGAGCCATTGGAAGAATTAAAAATTAAGTTAACAAAATGGCAAGAATTGACTAACGACCCATGGATTTGCTCACCTCAAGGTGTATTTGAAAACAGTGGAGCATTCAAAGAAAATCCCTCTTGTTTGCCTTTAGATAATTTGGACTTTTGACTGAAATAATCTTTTTAAAACATCATCATCTGCATACTCTTCTATGAACATGCTACAATGGTAAATGTAGGTAAAACCTTTTTATTACATAATTAAATGCATTAACCCTGTGATTTTTGTTTTAAAAAATTTATATGAGATTTACTTAGTTAACAATTGAATAAAAAATCATGAGATGTAAAGAGTATATACGAATTCACCAGCAATTCACCAAATCTTTTCTATTATACCTATTACACTTACATAATGACATTAAGCCTAAGAAAACATGGAATCGTGAAGATTTCTGATGTCTTCCTCTCTCTGTTTAGCTCGCTTCTGTTCTTTTTTGTAATTTTCGTACTCCTCATCATCAGTTGGGAGCTCATGTCGGCAAAGAGGACAAGAGTTCGTCTGAAAAAAAAATCATGAATCATTTAGGTGTCACAATCATTTCCTAAGTTGGCCTAAAATTGTATAAGGTGGAAGTGGTACTCACCTTCTGAAGCCAGGGCAAAATACATCCTAAATGAAAACTGTGCTGGCATGGCATTTCTTTTACTTGTTCCCCTTTATCAAAATTTTTTAAGCAAACGGGACATTGATCTCCTGAAACCAAACAAGTTTCATAAGCACAAACGCAAAATCATAGAACTTGCTGTCTGGACAAATCAACAGGAAAACTACAATCAAAATATAAAAAAGTATTTACCTTCTCTCTGCACAGTTGAAACCTTAAGATCTTCAACAGCCTTTTTAGATGCTGGTGGAGGTAATTTCTTATTGGTGCCCAGTTCCTCCCACATACCAAAATCTTGCAGCAGCCTTGCCATTTGAAGGAGAAAATTTGGTGTTTCACCATCACCAAGTGGGGTACAATTCATTTCTTGGAAGTAATCAGCCATGTTCTGACTTGAAAAGTATAAAAGGCAAATTAGCTCATGAACTCCAGAAATCATTGACTGCTTGGCAAAACTGCTGACTGCATGATTCGATGATTCGACATAAACAAGTGGAATCGTAGATTTGAAAACTGTGTCCTACCTCGTTGCGGGGTAGCCGGTAAGATACTTCTCTCCGTTAGGAATGACTTGACAGACGAAATTAGACCTTTCCACAAATAACAAAATTTCAGCTATGATTTTGGAGAAGGGTTAAGGATATTCTGCTGCTAAATGTCAACAACACGCGCGGTGGAGGGGGAGGGGGGCGGGGGGGGGCGTTCCATCCATATGTGACAGAGAATGGGAGAATGAGCAGAGCAATAACCTGTAAAAACTCAGTTTAATACTTGACGAGAACCATTTTATACAGTGTTATACGAACAATATTGATGGCATCACTATTTTGTTTCACTGTTGCTGATGGTTGCTGTTGGCTTACCTGTTCGTCAGGTTCGATTTTTAATTCTTCTTCATGTTTTCTTCACTGCAATTTCTTTTTCCTCATGTTCCTCCCCTTTCTTTCAGTGAAAAATACATCGTCTGTCTGTTGAGACTTATCTAGTTTTATGTTTTCTCTGCTGCTTGGACTGTTCATCGTAGCGTTTTGTACTTATGTTCAAGCTAATTTCCTATCCTGCATCAAGGAAATCTAAAAGACTTGCATTTTAGAGTCACGACTCCATAACATGGCGGAATATGACGATATTTCTCAAAAACAAGGTAGTGTTTGATATGGTTTGATATTATCTTTTCCTTGTTAACTGAAGTCTGGGCGCTTCTCTAAATTTATTTGTGATTACTCAGTATCTGCTAGGAACTCAATGTATATTTATTTCCTACTGAAAAACCCCAAATGTTCAACTTGCTTAATTTGGATTTTCAGCACCTTGTCAAAGTAAATGTCAATGGCCATCTCTAAAATTTAAAAAATCCACCCAAATTGTTTATATTTTGTTTTTATTTGTGCAAGAACACCACTTTATACGCTCATTCAGCCTCCTAACCTTATCTTCCATTGCATCCTACTGCTGATAAGCATATCTCTCATCCTGTTACATGTCTTGTTTCGTTCTTAATATTCTGCAGTCTATCTTAGAAAACTGAATTTTTTATATGTCCAATGTGCTTTGCTCAGCATGTTTTGTATACTGTTGATGTTAAAAGAATCTAAATAATTTTATTGTCAGACTTTCGTATTTCTACTTCTAGCGGCTGAGCGGAGAAGGCAATTGAAGATGAATTTCCAACCACCGCCCAACTTTAGTTTGGGGTCAACAAGTGTATCAGGAAATGCAAATACAGCTGCCTTCCAGAACATGAGGTCAGTTACACTTTGCTGACCAGAATTCAATTTGTTGATTTTTCAACTGATGGCTCTTTTTGTTGGTCTGGTTTCACTATAATTTGGAACATTTTGCAGTATGAAACCCACCGTTCTTATGCCAAGTCCAAGGCAAAGTGGGGATAACAGCAGTATGCACTCAAGTGCCAGTCGTTCCAGAACTGCTGCCCCAGTTGTGAGACCTTTCAGTCAGGAGACATTTGCAGAAAAGTCCTCCAGGTAAAATGATTTTGTAGATTGCTCTGTTGATTAATTTATTGACTTTCCTCTCCTTGTAAATACCAATGATTTTCAGATAATATCTAATCTGTATTCTTTGTCCTTTTTCATTGTCTCTTTATTGCAGATTCAAGTTAAATATACAATCATCTGGAAAACTTCAAATCTCTCCTGGCACTGTGAGTTTGTTGGAATTGCTGCTTCAGTGTGATTAAATGTCTAGAGCCATGATAAAGAATAGTTTCATTTTACAGGTGTATGATTTCACATCAGAAGATCTGCAGGATTTGGGAGAAATAGGCCGTGGTGCTTTTGGCACTGTGAACAAAATGGTGCACCGGAAGAGTAATACAGTCATGGCTGTAAAGGTGTGTTTTGTCAGACTTTCTTGAATATTTCATGTCACTGTGGATCAACTTAACACTTTTAAACTCATTACCATTTCTAGAGGATTCGCTCAACTGTTGATGAAAAAGAACAAAAACAGCTCCTAATGGACTTGGATGTAGTCATGAAGTCGAATGAGTGCCCATGCATTGTTCAATTTTATGGCGCTTTATTTAAAGAAGTAAGAGAACTATCATTGCTACAGAAATACACAAAATATTGAACTTTTACGGATAAATTAATCTAAATTTTTGTGTTTCAATTTCTAGGGTGATTGTTGGATTTGTATGGAACTTATGGACTCCTCCTTAGACAAATTTTACAAATTTATTTATGAAAACCAGAGGAAAAGAATACCAGAGAGCATTTTGGGGAAAATAACTGTTGCTGTAAGTGTCACTTTTAAGTTAGAATTTTGGTTAAATTTCCAAACTACAAAATTTGTTGAATTAAATTGTAAATGGTTGCTCTAATACATTTTGAATTTGTACAGACTGTTCAAGCGCTTAACTATTTAAAAGAGAAATTGAAAATAATCCACAGAGACGTAAAACCGTCAAATATTCTTCTCGATAAACGAGGAAATATCAAGTTGTGTGATTTCGGTATCTCAGGTCAACTTGTTGACTCGATTGCTCGAACCCGAGATGCAGGATGCCGCCCATACATGGCTGTAAGTTAAAAGAATTCAAAGATAAATTTTTAAACCTTTTATTTGTGCTTTCTGCGGTACTAAATGTTGTTTTTTTTTTGTTTTGATAGCCGGAAAGAATTGACCCTCAAAGAGCCCGGGGTTATGATGTCCGTTCTGATGTTTGGTCCTTGGGTATAACACTAATGGAGGTTGCTACTGGTCACTTTCCTTATCCAAAGTGGAATTCCGTTTTTGAACAGCTTTACCAAGTTGTGCAGGGAGATGCTCCTCAGCTAGAACCTGTTCACAATGGAAACCACTTTACTGCGGAGTTTGTCAACTTTGTTAATACTTGGTGAGTACTTAAAGGATTGCAAATGTTCTATTTTAAGTGGTATTGTAGATTATTTACATGAATGTAATCTTCATAATTTGTATATTTTTTATCACAGTCTCATTAAGGAAGAAACACAAAGACCCAAGTACAACAGACTTTTGGAGCATGATTTCATCAAAAGAAGTGAAACAGAAAGGGTTGATGTTGCAGCATATGTCTGCTCAGTGTTAGATGATATGGCTAATAACGGTATCACAGCTTTCACCACAGACCAGCCGTAATGCTTTGTGGTCATCAGTGTACCCTCCCGTCCAAATTTCTCATTGATCTGGTGCATTAAATTTTTTTCTTGAGTTTTGTTAAAATTGCATCAAGCTCAGCATTAAGATGGAAGCACAATTAGTTGTGTTCTAGTGAGGAGAGACGACCCAGTTTTGCTTGTTTTTTGTGGTAAGCCGTCCCATTAAGTTTAACCTGAAACTGCATTAAAATTACGCCATGAGATCCAAAGAAGAAAATAGTTTCAACTGAATGTGGAGTAAACTTTATTCTTACAAGAATTTTCCCTCAATATAAATAGCTTATTCAGTATCTTAAATATTGGAAGGTATTATTGCAAGATGTTGAGGCAAATTGAGTATTTAGCATAGATTTTAGGAGATGCCATTTCTATCAGCATCGTCTTTTATTGATAGCTAGGTAGATAGTTCAGTTAGCATATTGATTATGGGGGGGCAACCTAATAGTGTCATGCCACTGTTTAGTGCCTCTGTTGCATTGTAGCCCCTTTCACAATTGATGCGTAAAGGAAGCTAATTTATTGATATAGACTCATTTATTTAAACTTGAGATTTTAAAAGCTTTCACTCTCAAGCTGCCACTGTCACTACATTAGAGTAATTGAGCTTACTCAGCCATTTAGACTGTTTTAAATTATGAAAGCTTTTTTAAAGGCTGTGAAACTTTACAGCAATGTGGAATATGTAATGTAAAACACTTGATTGATTTGTTACTGCAAAAATGTGTATGAAATTTTTCAGTCTTTTTAGGCAATAATATTTGCATATACTCTGTTGATTTCAAGAAAATGAAAAGCTTTCTCTTGCCCAAAATCTTTTTGTTGTTTACAACACTTTGATAAAAGAGAAAGTATCTTGATGAATCATATTAAATACGTTACCAATTTTGTTGTTTTTTTCATGCTGGAACTAGACACATTGGATGACATGATGTTTTTGTGAATCAGATTAATTATATTGCAACATTTTATTATAGTGTCAAACATTCCAGTCATAACTTCTTTAACTTTGCCATCATTGAAGGAGAATAGGCTGATTTCTGTTGCATTAGAACTGTTGTAGTTACCAGGTATAACACATCCTTACTGCCCTTTATTTTAAAAAAACCAACGTGTATGTTGGTTCTTAAGAGTAAAGAGAGAGGATACCTTGAATATAAGCAAAAGGTATAAATTTGTACTTGAATTTAGGCCATACTTTGAAGCCCACTTTTATTAACTAAACCATCTTTGGATGTATGTTATATGCCACCACTTCCTCCATGCACTGTGTAGACATGCCTGCACAATGATCAAATTTCTAAGAGCATTACTTGGACTCTAAAGATAATATTTATCTGTATAGCCGTCTAATCCAATACTGATACTTATAAGGCACCTTATATTTTGTTCTGGCACCTTCCCACCTGGCCCTAAATCTAAGATGAAACTGAAAATGGACTCCCGTGTCTGTGCCTCTTCAAGTTTGGGCTGGTAAAAATTTCTAGATATTTTTTACTCATTTCAGGGAGATGGGATGGAAATCATGTAGCCAAACAGTAAATGGTGTGTGTTCGTCACCTGTTTTTGTCTATCCCCCTCATTTTCTGTTTTTGCATTTTGTAATTTTATAGCAGGTATTTTTTATTGTTTTGATACTGTTAACTTTTTTTTAAACCAAGAGGCTGGTGGTGTACAATCCATTTTTGCTGCCTTCAATCCTACTCTTTGCATTTTATTATCAATATTGAATCAAAAAATCTTGTTAACATTTTGTAGTTCATAACAGCACTGTTTTGCAACTTGACAATAAAGAGATTTTGATTGTTATAAATACACTTTATGATGCACTTAATGCAGTGCTTGTCCAATATGGAAGTACCTCCACATAGTGCTGTATAAATATGTAGGTTGCAAGTTTTATTTGTTTCATTTTAATTTAAATACAGTTTGCCATTTAAGGAACCACATAGTGATAAATATATGTAAGAGGTAATAGTATGTTTTTAGAGCTGTAGACTATTTGAAACTTAAGAGGACTTGAACAGAGATGTTGAGGGGAGTTATGTCTGCTCTTAAGAACCTGTATCATGCTACTTAAGACCTTAAGAGAATTCCATTGAATGAAATTATGTGTACAAAGTTTGACTATTTGGACTGAATAAAGTTTAACCTTGTTCTGGTTTTATGTGTGTCGTGTTTTCGTTTTCGCGTGTCTTTTTGCGTCACCTTAAACTCACGTACATGGAAGCAACAACACGCCAACTGCCGAGGTGAGGTATAAAGGTATGAAGTTCTCCATCAGATGCAGGCCCCCTCCCTGCAGTGGTCCCTGTGGTCTCCAGGCAGCCGACCCCCTTTGTTGGGCGGCCGTCCTGCGGAGGCGACCGAAAGACCTAAAGGCAGACCTGCCCGTGAGGTGCATCCTGGGTTTTTCCAGGGACTTCCTGGAAAAACAAAGGTGCTAAACAGCACTTGTAGAGTGCTCCAGAATTCTTGTGGGTGCCAATGATGTGAGGTGAAAAGCACAAAATTGCTCCTAAGGTGTTAAACTTGGTACTTCTGTGGGTGTCAGCGCATTTCTAGAGGCACTAAAGCACTCGCGCCTTTGCTTCTCCAGTGGATGCGTGGCTAGTGCCCCTCGCCTCACCTCTGCATCCCTTTACTGCCTGAAGAGCGCCGTGCCGTGCGGCCCTACCGGCAGGTATGGACCCCAGCCTGAGCAGCAGATACCGACTACCGGGGACGCATACGGTGAGTTTACCTACAGGGTCTCGTCCCGGGGAGCAGGTAAATCTCCAAGTGGAAACCGATTTTGTGAAATAAAAAGATATTAAATTTGTTATACACGGTCGTTTTCTGTTTTTCAAGATTTCAAGTCGACGGCCCGCGCCTAGCACAGACAACGAAGATCATCGCAGCCCAACACGTGAGTGCGAGTTGTATGGCACCAATACCAATCTCGGGACATTGTCTATAAAGAAGTCTCTTCGACAGGCGTCAGTCCTCCACTCGCTTCGGTCCAGAAACAGCTTCAGAAACTAGAAATAACGAAAACGAACGAGTTGAATCTACCGGGAGGTAGGCTTTTTGGAGGTATTCTCCGAAACGACGAACCCGTTTCCGTAGTGTCTGGTAAGCTTACAGTGGCCCCTCATCCAGGTAGGTCCACCAGCGGCGTGTCCTCCTCCGATTCGTCCGAGTCCGCGGGCCCGTGCACCTGGCAGCCCACCGGGAAGTACTCGCATGCCGCGGGCGGGAGGGCGCGACGGGCACGCGGCCGCGCGCCGGTGAGGCGGAGGCGGGGGGCGGCGGGGGACGCCCACCCCCAACACCACTGCTGCGAGGTGCGCGAGCGTGCGCGGCGAGCCAACCAGGATGACTTCAATCACCGCCCCAGATCCTGACGATTTGTTGTGTTGGTGCGCGCAGCCCGCCGAGGACACCGACAGCGCCAGCGATCACAACTCGGCGGCGGCCGCGTCCTCGAGCTCGGGCGACGAGTCGACGGCGGCCGGCAGAGGAGCAGGTGCCGATGGATCGCGCCGGGACGCGGGTCCGACCCGAGGGAATCTGGCGAGCCCTGCCCGCCTTCCCTGCGCAGGTGGCGAGGGGGTACCGCCGGGGCGCGGCGACGGGCACCAAGCCTGCCAGCAGGGCTGTCTGCAGGGGTGTCAGCACGCGTACCAGCCGGCCGCGCACCCCTACAAGCAGGACGTCGAGCACAAGGGCCGGTCCTTTAGCGTGGAACAGGTTCGTCACGAAGGTGGTCTTGAACGCCGTGCTCTTCGTGGGATGTGGTCTTTTTGATGCGCCCCCCAGCACCAGACCAAAGATCCTGGGGGAACCCGACCGCGATTTTGTGTCATACATGAAGCCGCGCGAGTTCTATTTTAAAGACAGACTGACCAGCGCCTGCGACGCCTGACGTAGGCCGGCCCGTCGCGCTGCCCTGCCTGGCGGCTCTGCCTACCCCGCCGCTCGCAGGCGCCTGTCGACCCTGACGTAGGCCGGCCCGTCGCGCAGCCCTGCCTGGCGGCTCTGCCTACCCCACGTAGGCCGGCCCGTCGCGCAGCCCTGCCTGGCGGCTCTGCCTACCCCGCCGCTCGCAGGCGCCTGACGTAGGCCGGCCCGTCGCGCAGCCCTGCCTGGCTTCTCTGCCTACCCTGCCACCCGCAGGCGCCTGACATAGGCCGGCCAGCCCGTCGATAACGGGCGTCCACCCGATCATCGCGCGGCTCTGGTTGCAGATGTGGCGGATCGAGCGCGAGAACCAGGACCTGCTGCGGCGCCTCCGCGCCTGCCGGAGAGTGGCGCCGCCGAGCGCGCCCGCCCACATCAGGCGGATCACGGCGTCCTCCGCCATCAACAGGACTGCGAGGCAGCGGGAGATCGACCGCGAGAACAGGGTGCGCCGCCGTGTGGCATGACGAGACACAACCCCCTGGCCCTTGACGCAAATTACCTTATTTTGGTTGGTGGATCAGTGAGTTCGGAGAAACGTTTAAAACGCGCTATAAGGAAGTCGCCAGTCGCGAGGGGAACGTAAGTGTTTAAATTACCCACGGAAAAAAAGCAGAGCAGCTCAAACACTTTCAACTAAAATTCCGAGTTCAAACGTAGTGCCGTAAAAATATACACCATTTCAACTCTTAAAAAATCCGTGATTAGTGTCTGACTTTAGGCTAGCCCAGTTTTCGCTATTTTAGTGTTCTTTTGTACAGATAATCCGCCGGCGGCTGCAGGACATACAACAGTCTTCGTCTCTTATCAGTTTGTCCAGCGCACGGCGAGGGCGAGGAAGAGGCACGACGAACAGGGCCATGCGTCAAGATGGGCCATTTAGGGAGTGAGAGGATCTTCTTAATCAACTTCGGAGCTTGTTCTCCTTTCTGTACAGCAATTAAAGAAAGAGAGGACATATTTGTTCGTGGCTCATTGTTTATTCGTCTTTATAAATGAAATGGGTTTTGTATGGTTAACAAACTGTAATATAAAAACCTGAAACCTCCACCAACACCTGGGGCTGGGACAAGTGCTGATATGCAGCTAAGCAGGTGTATTATTGTGCTTGGCTTGACAGGGTACGAATTGTTCAAATTTTTCTTTTTCTTTTTGTGTTTGCAACATTTATTTAAAATGCTTTACAATATAACTATAATCTTTGCGTTGTGGTGATAGAATCTAACGCAATAAGTCGGGCAGTCAGAGAGGAAAAGGACTACAACAGACCTTTGAACATCAAAGGTTGTTTTGACACAAGAAACATAACAAACATTGATTCTGTATAAGAAAAAAAAAAAAAAAAAAAACAATGTCAGCAAAGAAAATTGATTAATCAGTCTAAAACAAAGCTAGAAGTAAAACTAGAGCAAAGCTTGTGTGAGAAAGGTATTGTCTGATGCAATCGTTAATCATCATCAAACCAATGATACATAAAATGAAAAGTATAGCACTCCCAAGAAAACAGATAAACTAAGTCTCACAAAATGTCTTAAATAATTATGTGATGGATGACAACCCCTCTAAGTATATAGAGGGTATACCTTATTAAAATAATGGCACATTTATTTCACATTCTTTTTCTCATGCTTTTGAATTTGAATTTATGTGCATTCCAGTAACACAATTTGTAGAGCACATCTATGGTAACATAAAGACTTTATCGACTAAGTATGACCTGAAACTATGGAAGAAATCTAGTAGGGTCCCTCAGATGGTATGACTAAGTTGATGAAGAAGGGTAAGTTGTCAATGATGCAAACAAAAGAAGTTGGAAGTTTGCAAAGTATTTCGCAGAAATAAATATTTTTAAGACATGTAAAATTAGGTTAAGGTACTATTGTACCTAAAGTAAAAAAATCTTTTAAACTAAGTGGAAGGACACAAAGTACTGTAATCACTTTCATAATTCTCACCCTTCTCACATTCATTTATAAGGTAAAAAAATACTTTAAATATCAGTAATATGGACGACGTGGATTGTTCTGTAACAAGAAATTGTAAGTGTGTAAGTTTCTAGTTTGTGATTTTTTTTTAAAGTCGGGAGCTTATTATAAGGCAAAATACTTACTAAGGGATTTGGTCTAAACCTGTAGGCTAGCATCATTCGCTTTCGATAGGCATCAAATTCATCATCATCTTTACTAACTTCATCAGGGCGGTCAACACCAAGACCTTGATTTTCAGTTCTCTGGTTGGCTCTAAGGATGGATGGATGGATAGATAGATTAGATTAGAGATCAAAAGTTGTACAGCAACTGCACTTAAAAAGAATGACACCAACCTGCCAACAGGATCCACTATTCCAGTACCATCTGAACCCAAGCCTTGACCCTCAGACCAGCCCAATTTTTGGAGCATTTGAAAACCTATATTGTCTTCTCTAAGTTTAAATTCTTTGTAATCTGAAAGATCTGGCTCACGATCATCTTTCAATGCTGTGTACTAAGGGAGCAAACAAAAGAGATAAATGAAAAACTCAGCAAAGCCATAAATATCTACAAAATTTTAAGTTCAATTTATCTTGTTCCCATCTGACCTTTTCCATAAATTTTGATAATTCTTCTGGTGGTAGAAAATCACCTATGTGATGCTTGCCTTGAGATTGCCTTGTGAGCTCATCAGCCCACCTCTCAGTAGCCTCCATTTCTGCTGATCTTAATTTGTGCTCCCATGTGCCTTGAAACAGATTTACAAGCATAAATTTAAAAATTACATAAAAAATACAGAAAAAATGTGATTGAAACAAGTCTTTTTCCAAATTACCTCCTTCACATTCTTCATCACTGTCATATTCATATTTATGTTTCCCCCTCATTTCCAACTTTTTAATATCCTCCCTCTTTTTCAATAAGTCTTGGTACAGCAAATTGATCTAAAAAAATAAAAAAGAGACAAAAATATTTAGAAACAGACACACAATTATGGAAAGCTGAAATATATAATCTAACTAACTTTGTAGTGGTCTTCAGCCTTTTTCCAATCTTCCTCTGTTAAATTGGTTGTGCCAAATGATTGCATAGCATATCGCAGAAGACCAGGATCAGTTCGAGTTACTCTACTTAGAACTGGGCCTGAACCAATTCCTGCTCCTCCAGGTGCAGATATACCTTGATACCCAGGTGGTGGTACATTGGTAGGAGGAAGTGAACTAATAGCCAAAGATGGTGCATCACTTTTGCTGTCTTCTGGTGCCCACCTACTCCGTCGCTTTCTTTTGCGGGCAGCAGATGAGTTATCATTGTCCCCTACAATAAAACATTAGATTATAAAACAATACAACAAAAAAACATTAGGAAAAATTGTAGGGTGAAATGCATGTTGCAATACAACAAATTTTTATTTGAACACATACCTTGAGATGAACCAGCTAATGGGTTTATGTTTTGTCCATTTTCATTACTTCCAAAATGAGCTATTTCCTTTCCAAATGTTGGAGAATTTCTTTGTGGTAGAGATTTTGACAGACCTTCTCTTTCAGAAAAGTTGTGACCCTCACTTTTACATCCTTCTGACCTATTCTTTTCTCTTCTCAGCTTCTCAACAAGAAGACGATATTGTAAATAAGCGCTACTGTCTTTTTGATGTAAAAACCTACAAATTCAAACAAATATAAAATAGAACGATATCTCTAAAACATTCCAAATAGAAACATTGTTATCAAGTTTATACCATAGTTTAATATCATCAGTGTTCCTCGCTTTGATAATATCCTCAATATCATCCCCACATTGTGAAACCATCTTAGCAAGCTGCAGAACAGCATCATCTTCCTCAACTTTAATTGTTGGTTGGTTTCCACAAATATCTTCCTCTTTTATGGAGAGTAAACCATTGATAGGTGGAGGAACGGGTGCAATTACGGCTGGAGGATTAGAATGGATGCCAGTAAGTTGTATTCCAGCTGATGATTCTGAAAAAATAATCAGTGAAGATCTATAGATGTGCCAAAGCCTCATTCAAAACACCCCCAAAATTGCAGGGTAAAAAATAAAAATAAAAAAATAGTCTCTAAAACTAGAAATATCACCACAGGGTACGGTGAAAACACTTACCGATAACGGGCTTGACATCAGGCCCTGCAGATGGCGGTGGGACAGGCATAACAGGGATTGGAGGGAATGAGGGGACGACTGACGGCGGAGGGACTCCAGTGAGGTGAGGGAGAGGAGGAGGGGGGACGCCAGGCGGCATACCCGGCGGCATGCCGGGGGGAAGGCCCGGCATGCGGACACCAGAGGGAAGACCCGCCGCTCCAGGTGGTCGAACACCTGTTGGTGGGGGCACGCCTGGCGGTGGTACCCCAGGCGGGGGGACGCCCGGGGGTGGAACACCGTGCGGTGGCACTCCGGGGGGAGGCACTCCGTGGGGAGGGACCCCAGGAGGTGGCACGCCAGGCGGCACGCCCGGCGGTGGGACGGGAGGAGGGACACCGTGGGGACCCTGGGGTTGGAACTGTGGAGGCAGCAGGCCGGGAGGGGGCATCCCGGTGGGGGGCATCGGCGGCGGCGGGATGAGGTGAGGGTCCATAGGGGATGGCGGAGGGATTGAGTGGGGCTGGATGGGAGAGGGTTGAGGGATCAGCTGGAGGGCGATGGAGGTGGGGGGCGGGGGCACCCCCGTGTGCACGCCCTGCGTGGCCATGGCGAGGGAGACTGGGGGCACAGGTGACGGGCCGACGACGGTCTGCTGAGGGGGAGGCACAGCGGTAGGGTATGAGATGAATGGCTGGGTCGGTGGCGGCTGAGAGAAGGCTGGTTGCGTCGACGGCGGTGGTAAACTTAGATTGGGTGGCGGGTACATGGTCGAGAAGACGGGGGGAGAGTAGTCCACTTTGGTTGGAGAGTAAGGTGAGGAGGAGCGCGGGGGCTCGGGCGCGGGCACATTCTGCCATCGGTCATCACGCCTAGAGCGATAAGTGTCCCTCTCTCTTTCGTGGGATCTCTCCCTCATATGTTCGCGGGAACGGTCCATATCCCTATCCCGTGATCGATCTCTCTCGCCATATCTATCTCTGTCCCTTTCACGATCACGGTCCCTTTCTCTCTCTCTGTCTCTATCCCTACTGCGATCCCTGTCTCTGTCCCTTTCGCGTATTCTCTCCCTTTCCCTGTCTCTCCTTCGCTGATCATCTCTATCTTCAATTCTCTCTCGGCTCTGACCATTACTATCTACAGAACAGAATAACAATAAAAATTAGATAAAAACAGAAACAACAACTTTACATTATTACATCATGTAATTTTGTATCTAAATTACTTACCTTCCTGGGGTAAACTGTTATCATCTTTCTTTTGCCCAGATTTAGACTCTGAAAAACAAAAGGATAAAATATTAAAAATTTTAAGTAAAGTCTTGTTGCTAAAAGAGCAGAAGATGAAGAAGGAGGCATCAAATTATCTGCTGCAAATGGTTTATTTTCTAACAAAGTTACCACAAAAAAGTTACCAATTCCTATTATTATGGAGGAAATGAAGGTGCTCGCACAATGTCAGGTCATTCACATAACATACTTTTAAGTTCATTTCATCGTTCATTTTTCTTTTCGCATTGTGAATGTATTGCCCATGTCAAGATGTCTTGTCCTGGTAACTTTGTTCACCAAGAAAAAGGCAAATTATTGCACCGAATAGGGTGAAGAAATTGACATTACGTGAGGAGTCTGTCATTGTTGGAGCACCTTCATACAACTTCTTGAGTTTTTGTTCATCTAATTTGAATGAGGGCAACATGTTGAGAATTGAACATACCTTTGATTCCGGAGAGCTTTCTGAACTGATCCATGAATGATCCATCATTAGAAAAAATATTTAAGGTATTGTTTGCAGATGATGACTGAGCCGAAGATGAAGAAGTTGATGAGGATGATGATGACAATGATGACTTTAGTTGGGAACCAATAGACCTCACGTTCAACCTTTACACAAAAACAAAACAAACTAATCAATATCAACAGAAAAAAACAACAGGGTTATAACCAGGGTTGTAAAATGTGCTAAAACTAAAAAGGGAGGGGAACCAAGTGCGAATGAAATGATATATATATTTAATGTCCCTAATCCCAATAACAGTCACTTGGCAAGTCAAAATTGCAGCCAGAAACTCACTTTGGCAGTCAAAAAATTTAAAAATAATCAAACGAGTGTGAGTGTTTTGTGTTTAGTGGGTCAACAAAAGCAACTAAGCAACAGACTTCTACTTTTGTGTATACCACTTATCAAAATACAAATTCCGAACTAACGTAATTAGTTATCCACATCATTCAAAGAAACAATTGGCGCTATACAGTCTTAAAACTGTGCCCGTTATTGGAACATCCTGTCATTAAAACTGTCATAACTTTGAAAAAAATGCCACAAATCACAAGTAAAGCCATGATTGAGACAACACACTTTTCATTAGGGATAGCGGCAAATGTTCCCTTATATATCTCAAAGCAAAAAATCTAGAAGAATCACTAAATAAAGTTAAAAAGTAAACAAACCCAATTTTGATTCATGAAATACTAACTAAAGACAAAATGAGTAGTGCAAAGCTTAGGTTGGGGGCAAATTATTAGGTATAGAGAAGCCAATCAACATACACAATAAATCATACTTTAAAATCAACAAGAAAAAATAAACAACAATTAAACTGAAAAACGTCATGACCAATAGTCATAACAAGAAGACTTACGGCTTCCCTATTGGTTTCTTGTTTCCAGGTTTGTTGAGGTTAGTCGTTGATAGTTTTTTTATATTATCTTCTGCTTCCTTGCGCTTCTGAGCTTCTAGCTTTGCCTGAATTTCTCGTTTCTTCTGTTGAATCATTTCTTCTTGTTTCGACATTTGAGCAAACCTGTCAAATCTGTTTGTTTTCTGTGAAAAGGGGTCGGACCCCTTCTCCTTCCTGAACGCCATGTTTCTGTACTAGAGCCTACGGCGGCTGCTGCTGCTTGCTAAAAAGCTGTCTTCGAAAACCAATATGAATGCTGACGCGACATTCGCCGAGATCTCGATCATAGGCAAGGCGCCAACTTAAAAAGATTTCGACAATTTCAGGGTTAAAACGGGGGAGGAAAATGTGAACTGTACCGTGAAATGATTATTGAGCCAATATTAGTTGATAATACATGGATGCATATATTTTTATTTGTCACAT